GCCCGTCCATCAATTTTCTTTTCCTTGTCATCAATTTGTCCTTTTGGAAAACCATGAATTTCGATAGCTGCATTCTCAGAAACGTTAGCTCTTGGCTGGTGTTGTAAATTCATTGTCAACACAAAATCTCTCATCATTGTCATCAATGCTTTTATCTGAATCATCATGATTTCACTTTCCTACACATAACAATTTAATTCTCACTCCTCTTAAGTTATCTTCCACCATATATATTATTCAAGATCTAGGCAATACAAATCAATATCCTACTCGTCCCAAATTCAAACAATACAGCAACAACAAAAATTCATATCAAAAACCAACGTATGAATCCATTGCCTATCAAAAGTCCGAATCATCGGACCATTCTCTGAACAAATTCTCCGAGACACAACCCATGCAATATGGGATACACAAGATTCGCAAAAAAATCGAATTCACACCATCACAACATGTAACATATCTTCACAAGGATAAAGATTTCTTTTTTTCACTAAATTAGTATCCAAAACAACTTTCATTTTTTGTTTGCAACAAACTTTGCCTCCTCCAACCCAGACAAAGTTTAAGGGAGGGTATTAGTAGTAGAGGTGTCAATGGGCCGAACCGGCTCATTGACCCACGAGCTCGGCTCGGCTCAGCCCACGAGCTCGTGGCTCGTGTGCAGCTCGTGGGCCGAGCCGAGCTTTAGCTCGTGGCTCGGGTAATTTTTTATTTTTTTTATATATATAGTAATAAGATATGCCTTTTTTAAAAAAAAAAAAAATNGGAGAAAATAAGGAAGGGGAGTGTTAAGAGAATAAATCAATGGAGGAAAGCAAGAAATCATTGAGACAAATTGATCAAGATGATTGATGATTATGATGTGCTTAATTTTAGGATTTTTATTCATTTTTATATATTTAGTTTATTGAGTTGTACTATATATTGATGATTTCTCAATGAATAAAACTACAACTCCCATTTCTATCATCTTCAGAATTTCTTCTTTAAATTCCTCTGGCAAAATAGTATGATTCTTTCCATGAACATTAGTTTAAGGCAGATATGGTCAAATGGTGATATTTCGGATGGATTTTAGGAGTGGAGATAAAATTTAGAAGCTTTCCTGGGCTTTACCGTTCATCTGCAAAGAAATGGGCTTCCTGTAGGGTCAATGTCAAATGGGATTGGTACGTGACATTAAGATTACGAGGATTTCTCTGGACAGCAAATTGCATTATATTCAGGAGCTGTTTTGGAGGCTCTATGGTTTTAATCAGAGTGGAGTAGGGTGGAGGGGGAAAGACTAATTTAAATGAAGACACCTTTTTGTTATTGCTTCATGGGCCGGACATAGATGATTTTGTATTTTCATGGTTCGCGCTGTCTTGTACATAAAAATTTCATTGCTTTGGAATCTCTTAATTCTTTTATTGCTCTCTGTCCCAAGCTCGGTACCAGAACAGAAAGAGACTAGCAGAACAACGGCCACACTTTCGAGGATGAATTGTGTTGACCTCGAAAAATGGC